CAGATCGTGGCGACGTTCGTCCCCTGATTCGCAGACGCTTCTGGGACTTACGGGAGACGTCTCATGCAGAATGACATGCCCAAGTTTCTGACAGGGGGTCCACTCTGGAACAGAGATTTCACCAGCCCACAGCGTCAACCGCATCAGCAGTTTCTTCTGTCTTCCAGTTCAGTTCGTGAAAAAAAACTGCGGCGCTTCCATTTTAAGACCATTCCATGCAAGCTCTTCAAAGCTCCTGAGCGTTCGGCAACAAAGTTAAGGGTACCTGGCCAGTGCTGCGATCCTGCAAAACCTCTCAGGAAATTTCTGGTGGTAAGAAACAGCTACGTTGGGTGCAAGGAACCATAGTCATATGACCTTCATACATATGGGATCAGGGTAAATGATGGCCTTTTTTGTCTCTTCAAAATTCAGGGAAAAAATGACCTCTAAAAATCATGGCAACTGTCCTTCCGTGTTGTTCATCTGTCTTTCCAGTCTTGGCGTTGAACATCTGTCCTCCCGAACGCCCGCAAAAAGTGAAACACCGAGGCTCGCTTTCGGCGAGCCCACGAAGGGAGAGGGGAAGCCGCGGCAGTCGCCGCAGCAGTCGCCCGGAATAGTTTGTAAGCGCGGAGAGGCAGAATGAGGCTCGTTTTTGCTTCGAAAAAGGCTTGGGCATATGGGAGGTGTCTAGCTTAAGCATGCTTATAAGCAATTACTGTGCCCCGTTCTTCCTTTTTGCTTGAGATTACTACAGGAATCTGTAGTTTAACCTGCAGATCTCAGGGCGGTGTCTTCTGCCAACCGTGCGCTTCTTCCGGCATCGTGAAGGCTTCTCTACCTCGGCTCTTCTTTTCCCGCGACGAAGGCGGAGTACTTACCGCCCAAGCCAGAATCCGTCGACGAGGCCCGAACCCATGACAGGGGGTCAAGGAAACCTGAAACCCATTGGGTTGAGGGTGATTCTGAAAGGAAGAAGGTCATCTGGACTAAGACTAGTCCATCTTGTTAGCGCCGCTCAGTTCGGCGGCCCGTCGGTAACAAATGAACGCACTGCATCACAAAGAACAAAAGCGGACGGTGCGAACTTTCATATCTGGGAACCTCTCCAGCACGGACATCGAAGAAAATTGGAATGCCGGACTGACTTTCTCCATCAACTTGCATCTATCTTGGGCTGTGGAAGAATTCTGCAGAACTCAACTCCTCGCAACGCTCATCGAGCAAGGGGTGACTCGTACGTGGGAATAGGGAAACCACCCGACATACCCCCACAAGTCCAAGGGCCAAGTCAAACCTGGTCCTTGACCTCATTGAGTACTGGTTTTGCATTTTCCCAGTCAAGTCCTTGACCTGTAGGGATACCATAACACCTCCAAACTCCGCCCACGAAGCCAAAGGGTTTCTTTGCACGAAGATAACAACAGCACCTTCTTTTCCAAGCCAAAGGAACCCTCAAAAAGGACCTCAATCAACCACCTCACAGTGTCCACTCACGTCTCACCCCCAAGACGTGGGGCGTGTGTCGCCGGCGATGGGCGGTCGGCCGTGCTGGCGAGTCGCTTGCGCTTCTTCTTGCCCTTGGACTTGTTGGCCTCCGCCCGCAAGGCTGCTTCCTCGCTCATCTCCTCACCAGCCACACTGGAAAGGGGAAGGACACGCCAGACAGCCCGACGGGGTCTGCCTTTCCAGACCGCCAGACAGCTGTGAGAGGGCCAAAAGGTGCGAAACAGGTCTCGCTCACATGCGAACAGAGGTTAAGTGACCGCAAATAGGACCCTACTGGAGCACCTATAGGATAGTCTATAGGGTTCTTCAACCCCTCCTGGTGTGAGCGAACACGGCTAGGACTCGGGCGAACCCTTTGACCCGGACCAACGGTGGACTGGAGAGGCAGCAGCAGCTACGACGGGACGAGACCCTTCGCGGGCTACGACGGGGCACCGTCCCAAAGTGATTCCGATTCTTCGGGGGCGGTTCCAACCCATCGGGAGAAAAGAAAGCTGGGATTCTAGGCATTTGGAGCTGGACCCCAGGACCCCTGGTTCTTCCCTGATGTCAACCCAACTTCCCAGACACACGCGTTTTTCCGCAGGGCTCTCCAAGTTCCCACGAGCCGCTCGCACCGTCCGGGCCGTTCGGGCGAGTGCCCAGTCCTCCTGCTTGCGCCTCTCCTCTTCCGCCTTCTCCTGAATTTCTTCCACCCACCTCACCGGCGCACAAAGGTTCCGCGCGCACGCGAGGCGCACGAACCGCGCACGCAAGCGCGTCCGCTGCGTCGGCTGCCACTCAGTCGATGAGTTGATGAGTCAGGTTGTGCGTGGATTTGAGTCTCAAAAGGAGGCAGCCAACTTCCAATGGCTGTTGCCGGCCCTTTCTGACGAACCTGCAATGACTAAGAGCCAGCTTGTCCAGAATCGACATTCGATGTGTCAATGATGCATCAGAAGTTCGAAGCGTTCGAAGGCAGTGTCTCAGTTCATGTATTCGTGTTTGTTCGCATGTTGGAGGATACATTTGTAATTTATAGTCTATCCCAGGATCCCAAACACTACATTGGGGTGGTTTGGGGGGGGTCAATGTATACTTACATGGAAGCGGAAAACCCCTTCGTTCGCAAGCCAAGTCGTCTTCCTCTCCGGGATGTGGACCATGTTTCATCCACGTCATCATGCGATGTGCAACGTTCGTCAGAGGTGTTCATGAAAACCCCGGTGCACCTCTCTGCGCACCCTCTGAACCACCCATCACCTTCTCGGCGACGCCAGAGAACCGGTCAACTCCGCCTCTCGCTGCGAGCCTTCATGCGGTTCAGGCGGCGTTCCTGAACCGAAGGAGACTAAGACCACCGGACCGGAATCCGTTCCAGGCGTTCCTTTTTGCCGTTTGAAACCTTTGGACCGGAAACCTTTGTTCCTCTCTCCGGTGGCGGAAAAAAGAATCGTTGGTTTGGGGCCTGGGGGGAGAAGTTCCTCTGCAAATGTGCGGATGCTTGCTTTCTTGAGAAGAGTCTGTGGAAAGAATCCCAACACTCAGAACCCCGCTCGAGTGAAGAATCTGCCCTAGTCTTCAGAGTCTCTACCTGGAGATATGCCCTTTAGGTGGACCCAGCCATGGAAGCAGAAGCCTCAACATGAAAGCTCAAATGGCACACGGGACTCTAAGCTTTCCAAACCACTGGGACACTGGGATGCTGAATTTCAAGAACCTCCCGTGACGTCTGTGGCCAGCAGCACTCGATACCGGCCTGCATGGCTTCGATCTCCAGTCTCATGGCTTCCACTTGCATGGCATGCTGTCGGCACCTGCCCGCTGCGCACAATAGAGCGCCCACCCAAAAACACGGCGAACATGGGAAGAAGCGACCCACCCACACACCGAGCGTCATCGATCATGACGAACAAAACAAGCCGTTCAGTGTTCTTGGGCTTTACAACTGTTCTCTGCGATGCATTAGCTTTCTACGGACCTGTCGCAGACCCCCATCTCATGGCCCGCCTGAACTCCTCGTTGTAGAGCGCAAAGCGTTCGCGGCGCTCGGCACGTCGGATGGTGCCTGTGCTGCTTAGCGCACGGAAGGGTTCCAAACGTCAAGGAGGTGCTCAGGTGTTTAAACGTGTTCTTTCACCAAATGGACCCCAAAAACACCTGCAAACGGGAACCAAGTGCGGCACTGTGTCCGTCTGGTGTCTTCTACTTGAGGCCAAGGGGGGGGGGGGGGAAAGCTAGCGCTCCAGAATGGGAAAGTGGAGGGCAGCGAGGTAGGAAAAAACACGGCGCTCTTTTTGGAGGCAGGGGTGAAGAGTCCTTTTTATGTGGCTCTTTGCCCGGATCCTCCTGCGAGAGAAGAGAGAGAAGAGAGAGGAAAGACGAGAGACAGAGAGGAGAGAGAGAGAGAGAGGAGAGAGAGATGAGAGAGATGAGAGAGATGAGAGAGATGAGAGAGATGA